AAAATTCCTTCCATCGACCCTCACGAGCGTATTATAGTTAGTCTTCTACTGGAGTGCCATAGACACCGATGGGTAGCAGCATCTGAAGCGAAAGCAGCATCCTAGCGGGGTCAGCACGACAGACAAGCAGGTTAGCCTCATAGCACAATGCAGGGAAGAAAGTACGCGACACGGGCAGGCTCGGTTAGCGGCTCAGTGTGGGAAACGCAGTCATTCCAGGTCATTCCTGGGTTTTCGGGCCAACCCGAACTCGACCCGATTTTTAAAACAGGTCGAAAATCCTAACCCGAACCCAACCCGGTTCGGGTTAGGGTCAACACGAACCCGAAATTTTCGGGTCGGGTTCTAATCGGATGTTTGAGTCGTGTCAAATATTGACACCTCTATATATATATATATATATATATATATACACCCAAAATGTGATTCCTCGTCTTTTTTTTTGTAGGGCTTATGCGGCTATAAAAAAGGCTATAGACATTACATATGACTTGTGGCATGAGCCAATAAATGATTGCTTTTGAAAAAGGAAAAAATATTAAAAAAACCTACTCAAAATCTCTTGCACTCTTTTTTCTCCAATTCCCAATATTTTGTCCCTCAAATCATTGCACCCACACCTATATATGTCCAGCCAATATACGAAAAAGGGGAAAATAAATTTGTTAAAATAAAAAAGCCACAGTCCCACACTAATGCGCCCAACCCAGCTCACATCACTCCCATATTCTCTCGTCGTTGAAGCTCCTAAACCCATCCCACTGCTCTCATCAAATCCTCGCCTCCCATGTGAATTGCCCTCATGATGCGGACATCCGACGGTGGACATTAATCAAATGAAGAAACGAAAAGTCCTATGGGAGGACAATCTTGCTTCCACCAGCCGCGGGATGGATCCGGGCTCGTGGATTGAAGTCCCTCGGGTAGGGCAACGCAGTACCCACCAGCCGCAAGAAGAGTCCGGGCTTGTGGTATCGTTTTTATTTTCTTTTTTTCTTTGTTATCCGCCCTCTCATCTATAGTCTCCATCATTCATCATCCGTTTTTGTTTTATTTTGTTTGATTTTGGTTAACTTTTCTTTTGGATCAAACATCAACCCCCTCCACCTCCATAGTCAGCCGACTACCTCACCCCTAGCCTCTTCCCTCCACAAATTTTGAATTTTGAATTCAAAATAGCCTTTGATTACCTTTCTAAATTAGATTTTGTTAATTTGAAAAGTCATTCACTTTTGAATTCAAATAAGTTTGAATTTCAAAATATTTTCAATTTAATAAATTCTACATTATGGAACCTCCTCAAATTACTATCAATCTGAAATTAATTTCAGATTTAATTCGCCCAATACAATTTAATGCTTGATCCATATACGTTGTATGTGGACACTTCTCCTCCCGCTCCATATGGCCGGCCCCCTATCTCATTTCCTTTCTAATTAATGCCTCTCCATTAAGGCCCTCAATCAACTCCAATCATCCCTAGTAACCACAGGTCCCCATCCCTCATCAAATCCCAATTAATCCCTTCCCAATTAAGGTGATTTGAAATTCAAATTTTCCCTCCACTTCCCCTTTTTTTTAAATCTGAAATTAAATTCATATTTTAATTTTTCAAATGACCCCTCCCCCCATATCCGTTCTACATCAGTTTGGTATCAGAGCATGATTACCCGGGGTGCGGACTCGACAGAGTCGAGCACTTTTCTACCTCAGGAGAATGATGCGGACATCCGACGGTGGACATTAATCAAAGGAAGAAACGAAGATCGACGGCCGAGATCCCTTCATTTTATCTTAGTTTATTAATTTGAATTTTTATTTAATTATGCATTTACCTTTTTTACCCTTAATTAAGGGACTTGTTTTATGTAAGCCCAAGGGGCAAAGTTGTCTTTTAGTTTCTTTTAAGGCCTATATATAGAAGTCTTTGCTCTTGTATTAGACGATGATGGATTATTAAAAAAAAAAAAAAAGAATTGGAGTCTTTGTCTTGATCTCTGTGTGAGTTCTGGGGAGGAAAAGTCCTATGGGAGGACAATCTTATTTCCACCAGCCGCAGGATGGATTCGGGTTCGTGGATTGAAGTCCCTTGGGTAGGGCAACGACGTACCCACCAGCCGCGGGGAGAGTCCGGGTTCGTGGTTTGTATTGTTTTTAGTTTTTTTTTTTTTTCTTTGTTATCCTTCCTCTCATCTATAATCTCCATCATTCACCATCCGTTTTTGTTTTATTTCGTTTGATTTTGGATGACTTTTCTTTTGAATCAAACATCAACCCCTCCACCTCCATAGTCAGCCGACTGCCTCACCCCTAGCCTCTTCCCTCCACAAATTTTGAATTTTGAATTCAAAATAGCCTCTTTATTACCTTCCTAAATTAGATTTTGTTAATTTGGAAAGTCATTCAATTTTGAATTCAAATAAGTTTGAATTTCAAAACATTTCCAATTTAATAAATTCTACATTATGGAGCCTCCTCAAATTACTCTCAATCTGAAATTAATTTCAGATTTAATTCGCCCAATACCATTTAATGCTTGATCCACATATGTTGTATGTGGAAACTTCTCCTCCCTCTCCATATGGCCGGCCCCCTCTCTCATTTCCTCTCTAATTAATGCTTCTCCATTAAGAACCTCAATCAACTCCAATCATCCCTAGTAACCGCCAGTCCCCATCCCTCATCAAATCCCAATTAATCCCTTACCAATTAAGGTGATTTGAAATTCAAATTTTCCCTCCACTTCCCCTTTTTTTTAAATCTGAAATTAAATTCATATTTTAATTTTTTAAATGACCCCTCCCCCCATATCCGTTCTACATCAGTTTGGTATCAGAGTATGATTACCCGGGGTGCGGACTCGACGGAGTCGAGCACTTTTCCACCCCGGGAGATGATGCGAACATCCGACGGTGGACATTAATCAAAGGAAGAAACGAAGATCGACGGCCGAGATCCCTTCATTTTATCTTAGTTTATTAATTTGAATTTTTATTTAATTATGCATTTTCCTTTTTTACCCTTAATTAAGGGACTTGTTTTATGTAAGCCCAAGGGGCAAAGTTGTCTTTTAATTTCTTTTAAGGCCTATATATAGAAGCCTCTGCTCTTGTATTAGACGATGATGGATTATTCAAAAAAAAAAAAGAATTGGAGTCTTTGTCTTGATCTCTGTGTGAGTTCTGGGGAGGAAAAGTCCTATGGGAGGACAATCTTATTTCCACCATCCGCAGGATGGATCCGGGTTCGTGGATTGAAGTCCCTCGGGTAGGGCAACGCAATACCCACCAGCCGCGGGAAGAGTCCGGGCTGGTGGTTTGTATCGTTTTTATTTTATTTATTTTTTTCTTTGTTATTCTTCCTCTCATCTATAGTCTCCATCATTCACCATCCGTTTTTGTTTTATTTCGTTTGATTTTGGTTGACTTTTCTTTTGAATCAAACATCAACCCCTCCACCTCCATAGTCAGCCGACTACCTCACCCCTAGCCTCTTCCCTCCACAAATTTTGAATTTTGAATTCAAAATAGCCTCTTTATTACCTTCCTAAATTAGATTTTGTTAATTTGGAAAGTCATTCAATTTTGAATTCAAATAAGTTTGAATTTCAAAACATTTCCAATTTAATAAATTCTACATTATGGAGCCTCCTCAAATTACTCTCAATCTGAAATTAATTTCAGATTTAATTCGCCCAATACCATTTAATGCTTGATCCACATATGTTGTATGTGGAAACTTCTCCTCCCTCTCCATATGGCCGGCCCCCTCTCTCATTTCCTCTCTAATTAATGCTTCTCCATTAAGAACCTCAATCAACTCCAATCATCCCTAGTAACCGCCAGTCCCCATCCCTCATCAAATCCCAATTAATCCCTTCCCAATTAAGGTGATTTGAAATTCAAATTTTCCCTCCACTTCCCCTTTTTTTGAAATCTGAAATTAAATTCATATTTTAATTTTTCAAATGACCCCTCCCCCCATATCCGTTCTACATCACCTCATCTCTTCCCTATCTCACACATTCGTCTTTCCCCTATCCCTTCTCCCTCTCTATCTCCCAAGTTTCTCTTCTCATGTTTCTTCCCAAAAATTGAACGTTCCACTTGTTTCTCCCTCCCTACTTTGGAAGAGTAAGCTGCATAAATGACTCATATCCTCTAAACCAAAGGTCTGCACCATTCCATGCCAATCACCACAACTCGTTTCTACACATGCCAGTGAACATCATTTACATAAAAAAATCACTCGACACAGCCCATGGAGACCGATAAGAACTCTTTAGTCAAGATGGGTCGACTACCTTAATTGACTATGTAGACCAATATCCACGATAATTTGAGACAACAAAACCATGTGATTTTAATCGAGTTTGTCATCAATCCCCCCACCATCCTCTCTAAGCTAACGATGGTAAATTTATTTCTTTCCTCAATCCAAATACTGCAACTATAAGCTAAACATTTAGTGTCTAATAACTAGTCTTGATCAAAAATTCTCCCCTATAAACAACAGTAATTAACAAAAATGGCTAGTACCTATGGGAAGCCTGGAATAATATCTTTAAAGTCCTTGCAAAAATAATGGTGAAATCTCAAAGTAGTATATTATCTGGAATTCAACCTAACTTCTAAATATTTGACCCTGAACTACACTCTATGGATGAGACATGCAAATTTTCAAAGCCTGCAATTGTCTAACTATTGATGCTTCTACCAATAGCAGTTGATTTTGGAATAGTAATAACCATATGATATGAGCATAGATTTTTTATCAATGCAGAAAATCAACCATAACTAAACCAAACTACTCGAATCAATTCGATTTGGTTTCATATTTTAAATATATGATTTCAGTTTTTAGTGTTGAGTTTAGTTTGGTTCATTTAGTTCCAAACATAGTTTAAATTTCATCCAAATAGAACTCCTTGTGGCATCCATCTTGGTAAAATGAATAGGGAACAAGTTGCAACCATGTTAAGTAAAGAAGCCTGTATCTACCAGAAAGAGGCTTTGGTGGAATACTATAAGGCATGCTGAACAGCTTTCCTTCATCTGCATCATACTGTAGTACTGAAAGAAGTCCCTTCTCATCTCCAACATACCTGATTAATTCAGGACATCTACAGTTAGTTGCAAAATATATTGCTAACCAAAATCAGTGAGGAACTAAGAAGAATGAAGTTATTAGAAAATGTCCAACGCACATCAAATAAGTTCCACTAATAACAGCAAAGGCAGTAATGTTGGATTCCCACTGCAAAGAATAAGATAATTTCCTGCATTGGAGATCCCAAACCTGCTCTAGTCAAAAAAATTCTTTAATAACTATCAGAATAATGCCACAAAATGCTAAGAAAAAAAAAACTTCCTTAAGTGCAGTGCCGAAAAATGATAAACAAACATAGAAAATCTGGAACTTTCATGTAGAAATCATTAGTTGCACACAGAAATCTTAATAACATAAGAACTTTCATGCTTTCAACAATGATGAAAAGACAGATCTGGGAAGCACTTGAAAAATATACTGGAATGCAACCCATTAGTACAAATTGACTGGCAATTAAAGACATGCACTGAAACTTTAGAGCATGAATGCAGAAAGTCACAGGAGTATCCTCTTGGCAGCATTTTTTCCAAAATAAAGCATGTAGAAAACCATGATCATAAAGAATTGATGATTATGATGATGATGATGTTTATAAACTCATCCAAACCACATAATCTCATCTAAAAAGAAGTTGTATCCAAGTAGAATTGGTCTACAGGCATAACAACATAATCATAAGGAAGCATGCATTTTCCCACCAATCCAAGTTGTATCAACGTCTTGAAATAATTAAAAATAAAGTAAAAATATTCAAGTTTCTACCAGACATTTTGAATATTCAAGTTTCTACAAGACATTTTGTGACACCTAAATTTTTAAAAGGGTGAAGTAAAATTTCTCCCATCAATTATACTCACTATCCGCACATTTCAAAATTATCAAAATTATTTTATAAAATTTTACATTCTATCCCAATCATTTTAATATATCAAAATGTTATTCGTTCAGAAAAAATGATGCACGAACCCCACATTCTAAGTTAGGGCTCCATTCTTCATGTGGTGGATTAATGTTTAATTAACTAAATTTCCCCCAATATATAAATCTGGAGTCTCAACTTCCTATGAGCGCAAGCCCTCATAGTTAATTAGCCCTTTCACTGAGGGGAGAGCACTCCCGATTAAGGATGGGTTACTCTAATATGGTTTTAAATTCAAGCTTAGTGTTCTAGGATTTGTTTGGATTAATGAGAGATGTTTGTGAAGAATGGAGGTAGACTTGATAAAGATCTCATGGCTCTGTCATCCCGGGAATACCAATGATCTCAACCTACCAACATTAACGACCCACAGGCCGTAATGCCCAGGGAAACTCATTAGCAACCATGAGTTGTCTTCTCTCAAGTATAGCAAGTAAACCAAGGTGATTATATATAGATTTTACTTTCTTATGATTTTTTGGTTTTTAATTAATTTGGTGGGTTTATAGCAAGGAAGCTTGCCCAAATACAATTTGAGATTGGGCATACAGCCATTGAAAAGCCTGAATTTGATCAACTTAGGGCCTATATCCATTTCCACGTAGTGTACACTAAATAAGAACACCAAGATAACCTGTTATCCTAAGTGTCTAATAAGAGCCGATATATAACTTTTGATAAAAACTCATCTTCGCATTATATAGAGGGTATGAACGTCTCAATGGATTTCGAGTCTTAATGCTAACAATTTTGAGCGACAATCGTCACACTCGAGAGAGCACAAGAATGCATCAATTCTATAGCTAAGTATGTTGATGTTATAAACTACATAAAATTCATGTGATTGATAAGTGATTTCAATTATTTATAAATGCAACTTGCACTTGTGCTTAGTATAAGTTTAATGGTATAATCTTTCTCGAGCTCGACTCGATAAAGAGCTCACGAGCTAAACTTATCGAGCCGCAAGCTCGAGCTCAAGCTGAAACTCAAGCTTGTTTGTTATATGAGCTGAGCTCGTGAGCTGGCTTGTAATTATTTAACCAATTGATTTTCTTCCTTAAACAAATCAACAAATAAAATTTTTCCTCCAATAAAATCTGCTATTGAGAAAGATAGCCTATTATTTCCAAAAAAAACTGCTAGGATTTGAAATGAACTTTATCATTCCAAGAAAAAAAACTGCTTTTAATGAGATTGTAGCAATTTTCAAAAAATTTAAAAAAAAAACACAACTAATGCAACAGTTCTCAAAAAATAAATTAAAAAAATGGCTACCTCCTCTTCTCCCCTTCTCCTGCAACGGCCAAATCGGGAATTTACCAGCCAAATCGCAAGCTCGAGATATTCAGCAACAACATGCCCACTTCTTTGGTGGCATGCATTCTACCTCTCCGGCAGTATCACATTGTTGGAGAATTTTTGTATCCTCAAACGGATTGCATATTTTATAATCGGGCACGGCATAAGAATATGATATATCACCGAAGGGTAAAAGTATTATTTCCTTATGGACTCAATCATAAAATTTACAATTTGAAACAGAGATTCCTCCACTCAATGTTTGGTTGAGTGGAGTTTATTTATTTCTGGGGTACAGACATCCCATAGGTGCAAGCCCCTATGGTTAATTACATCCCAAATTTGATTTGGGAAAACTTTTGATTAAACTAGTGGTTTTGCTTTCTTTTTTTTTTAAGTCATTTAAATATTGACTAAAGTTTAATTTTTTTTTTTATTTTAAAATCCATGAAAGTCTTAGTAAAAGGATTTGGCCCTTTAGGAATTTCAAGGAAAAGTTGATCAACTAAGGATTAGATTTTGGGAATGAAAGTCAAAGGAGATGAAGTAGGGGCACTTGATTCTGAGAGAAAACTCAGAGGTGCCCAAACTATCCTATGATGGGCTTTACATTTTAGCATCTAAATTTAGTTTGAGTTGATATTTTATTAGAAGATTGGGACTTACATCCCAACAACACTTGTTGGAGGAATTGCCCGAAAGATGAGGGCTTATAGGGTGATTTGAAATCAACCCTTACCTGGGACCCTAAGACTAAGGTGAGCACCACCGATAGGTAGTGCCTCGAACCTAAATCTAACGAGTGCAAAGAGGGACATACAAGCTACACCTCACAAGAGGCGTAACCCGCCCGACCTTTGGATTTATTGTCCCGCCTGGAAGGGACTACCAGCTAAACTCCCCCTAATCGCTTTTAAAATCATGTTATTCGGTCTCAATGCAAATGTAGAATGGTAGGGTTGTTTTTATTTAGAAAGTAAGTCTTACAACTTGGCTTTGAGGCCAAGATGTCTAAGCATGTGGGTATGCAAATGCTGACTCACAAAGAAAAAGACTTTTGTTATCTAATCCTTATATGGAGGCATTCTATATGCAACATGCTTAGGCTATGCATGATTATTTTAAGCTTTTGGAAAACTTGACCCTTTAAAAAAGAGCCATGCAAATTTTCTTTTGTTAAAAAACCAAGAAGCCTAATTTCATTTTAGTTTGCTTACATTTTAAGGGATAGAAAACTTAGTTTTTTATCCTAAGAGCCTAACGTAGTCAAGTCCAGGCCACGCCCACAGAAACAAAAGAAGAAGCTTAGAAAAAAACATGCTTTTCTAATGCGCACCCAGTAAACACTTCAACACATGCTTATATATAAATTAAGACAGAAATGTAAATAATGTCCCAGTTATTACAAACATGTTTGGCAGCAGAGTTGCCTGCCATTATACAACCCAGTTATATTTACAGACTCTACTTGTGGAGGTCTTCAAGCTTTAACCTTCAAGGAGGTACTTTCTGCTCTGATCTTCCTTGCTTTCTAATCCAAACCCCACAAGTTTTACACTCTAAATCTAATCAAATACATGGTGTAAAAAAAGAAAAAAAAACTCAAATATGCAAAACAAAGTCAGGGGGCAATTTATATAGCAAAAATATGATCATCTCAAAATTGGCCTAACACTTAGAGTGTTAAGTGCTAGGCCCCCTGCTTCTACCCTATTGGCCACATCTTTGGGGGGGTTTTAAGCAGTACCTGTCATGCAAACAGTTTATTATTATTTATGAGCGCCCCCCTTTTAGATATGGCCACCTGCACAGAAAAGCATTTATATCTTTCTACACTAAACACTTAAGGGCAAGTGCCCACAACGCAGACAATCCAAAATTCAATCACTCCACAACATCAATCACATGCGCACACAAAGAAAAATCCTAATCCTAGCATGCCTAAGGGGTTGTGCATCTAAGTGTGTGAGGCTTGTCTGGTATGTCACACTAAGGGTCCTCCTAGAGTTTGTGTCTAAGGAAGAAGTGCCCAACATGTGGCTTTTGGGCCACTTGTTGAGGGAAATTCTCCTTAGCTTTTGAAGCTAAGAAGAAGAGGTAGGAATCTGACATTTAGCTTTTGGGCTAAATGCTGGAGAGTTCCCTTTAGCTTTTGGAGCCAAAGAGAGGAAAAAATCTCCTACAACTTTGGAGTTGGAGGATAATTGGGAGAAAATACAACTTTTGGGTTCCAAATTCATGGAGGTCTTTGGACATTTTGATGTCCAAAGAGAGAATTGCCCTTTTCCAACTTGAGTTTGGAAGGGAAAAGAGAAATAGGACTTGAATCCTAAGCTTGGGGTGAAGTTACTTGTTGTTTTTGGTTCAACAAGTAAGATAATTTGGAACAAAAATTGGATCACTCAATATAGGTTGAGTGAAAGTGGGCTTCGTACAACTTTTGAGTTGTAGGAAAAGTGAAAGAACCTATGGCTTTGAGCTAAGGTAAGGAATTCTTTAAGACTTTTGGAGTCTATAGGAGTGAAAGAGGATTTGTAACTTTAAGGTTACAAATCAAGAAGGTGGTTCCTTGAATTTTTACACCGATTTAGGAAAAAAAAAAAACATTTTTTGTAGAGTTTGGATAGCGTTATACGGTTGTCTTCCAAACCTCCTAGAATCAATCTTCCTTCTCCATAATAGATACCAAATATGTCATATCAATTAACTATTGGTAACCTCTCCACTATGTTTTTTTCCCTCTTGCTATCATACATGATAATTTGGAGCATTCCTCAAGGCTTCCAAATGTTAGATGTGTGAATCCTGAAGCCCTAACCTAGGAGCTATAAACCATCCACATGTCTACTCTTAGGTCTCCTCTTATGATCTTGCCAAAGGTCTTTCAAGTGGTTCTCCTAGAAATCTTTCAAAATCCCCAAAGATCACGATAGTCAAATTTGAATTTGGGCAAAACTTTCCACATGCA